GTTTTCAGTCATGTCCTCCCTTCATGCCTTCAGTTTGTGCATACTACTTTCCTGCAGTCTCTCATAATATGTTATATCCCTCAGACCTTTCACTAATTTGGTTGCCTGTCCTTGGACTTGTTCTATCAATATCTTTTTTTGCAAGTGAGATCCCCAGAATTGGACACCGTATTCTAAATGAGGTCTAACTATAGATCTAAATAGAGGGAATCAGGATGTCCTTCCTCCTGTTGGCGACCCCTCTAGTGATGCACTCCAGGATTCTTTTTGCTTTCCTATGATCTACTTCCTTAGTGGGCGTTTGCATGGGCGGACTGTATGCAGAAACAGGAATGCCCACTTCTTGCCTCTGAAAGTTGTATCATAGCAGGGCACAGGCACTGCCAGACATGCGACTTATCATCAATGACAAAGGAGGATCTTCTGGCTCCTCCCCCAACATGAACTTGGTGCCCAGCAAAGATTAGAAAAAGAGACATCACTCGGGTTTGTGTACAGGTATTTTTTTCTAAACTATACAATTGTATTTAGAAATCTTTGTTGCAGGTGCATTGGATAGTAGGAAAGGGGTGGGGCAAAGGGGAAGGCATTTTAAATCTAAGCTAAACTTCAGCTTTAACACTATAAAAAATTGTTATAAAATAATAATTATTAGCAACAGTTATATCAATATTGTATAATGAAAGTTCAAAGCCTGATCCAGTAAAGTAATGATTCCCTGATAATGCACAATGACCAAATAATGGAAAAATACAGCATGACACAGTTATGAGATAAAGGACAAACTAAGCCACACTCTAACCTGTAAAATCACTGAAAATCTAAAACTAAAGCATTCCTCTGAATATAGCAATGGCCCAAATAGAACTGGAAAATGAATAGCCACCTAATCAAGAGAGGAAAAAATTATGCGAGGAAAGATGGGCTTGGTGCAAACAGGTAAAATGTATATATAGCACAGAGCTGAGTACCATTTGATTTGGGTACTGAGCTAAGCTGCTGTGTATCCCATAACAAAGCAAGGAGGCTGGTAGAGGTTAGAGACAGTCGAAAATCGAGGCATGCAGCAGAAGCATAATCCAAAAGGCAGTCCAAGATCAGGGCAGGCAGCATAAAAAGCATAATACATTGAGCAGGCAAGGGGTCAGTAAGAGGAGAATCCAAATACTAGGCAAGGTAGGCACAAGCAGGTTAAGGTGAAGGTGCAGGAATTACGCAGCCAATGCTATCACAAGCTCAGATGCCCTGAGCTTAAGATGCTCAAATAGAGTACCGCAACCAATGTGAGGGGATAAGTCTAGGCAGTTGGAGCTGACCCACTGCCTAGCAACAAGGACTTCTGCAGAGAGGAGTGCCGTTGCCAGCCAATAAAAGTGGTGGAGCATTGCTGCCAGACTCTGGCCCATTTCCCAGTAAACTCTGATGCTCTGACTGTGCTGAAGAGGGCAGTTGGGCTGCCGAGTAGGAGTGTGAGCATGTCTAAGGTTCCTAACACACCCAAACATAGCCATTGTATTTGGACATGTGGTTGGCGTCAAAGGGGTTGGGATTTGTATTCAGGCAAAGCCACATTTTGCTTGTCTCCTGTGTTAGAGTTCTGCCAACTGAAGCAAGCATGGAAAGACTGTCAGGTAAGTATTATGCAGCATTATATGACTATAGGATCTGGCAAAACAGGTGAGTATTGCATTAGGGTTTAGGACTGCTGTAACATAGAAGAAATGCATAACTGTTTGAAATTCCAAATCCTTAGGTTAATTCATTCTGAGATGTGCCATCCAGCACCATTTAGCTGTCACTTATGTGAGATACATTTCTCAGCCTTTTGTTGATTTTTAGTCTTTTTTGCCTTAGTGGCCAACTGTATGTTCATATAAAGGAAATTTCACACCAGTAATGACAAGCTGTATTATAAGAACACTGGATGACCACAATTGTAGATTATAGAGGATATGTTGGTGGTGGCATCAGTACAAGGTGCTGAGAACTGAAGATGCCTTAGGCAAGCAGTGTTGTTATTTATATCATTGGAATATAATTATGAAGGCTCTTTTGCAATGGGTAGTTTGTTGTGAGAATAAACATATCCCTGAACATACAAGGTTTGTCTGGTCTTGTTAGTAGCTTATGATCCCTGGTTCCACAAGCAAAACAATAAAACGTCTTTGTAATCATCTAAAGCTGTCCTGTTTAAAACTATGATCTTTGGTGGGGATGAGAACAGGCTGATGAATGAATAACACAAGCTGGGGTGTGTGTAAGGGAAAAGTAAAATTATTCTACGGAGATGATGGCTTTTTTTGACATCCCTGATCACTGTCACACAAACTGTGCCAACTTACCAGCATAAGTATTTATTTTTTCTTAGCTGCATCAAGAGTTCTCCTTTCTATTACTATGGACTGCCTCCTGGTAAATACAAGGCTTCTTCTGGAAGCCATACTTCCTATAAGAAAGGTTTTGGGAATCTGCTCTTAAGTACAATAAATAATAGTATACTCCCCATATTGGTTTCACTCCATACAATAACAATTTCAGTTTAAAGTGACATTAAACCCTCAGATTTTTTAACATAAACCAATACTGTAATGTGTACCTTACTTTAATCCATGGTAGTTTCCTTCTCTTTGCTGCTCTTCCTTTTAAATCCGTATCTCTTCTCATGCTGGGCAGAACTTCTGTTTTGCAGCAGACTGCCTTGTCTCTGAAATGGATACATGGTGTCTGTGTGTAGGTTCACAACCTGAGCCAGCACTACAGGAAGAGGCACTCAGCTGCAAAGGGAAGTTCTTCCCCAGCATGAGAAGAGATAAAGATTTAAAAGGAAGAGCAGCAAAGAGAAGTGAAACAACCATGGATTACAGTAAGGCACACATTACAGTATTGTTTTATGTTAAAAAATCAGAGGGTTTAATGTCACTTTAAGCTTTTAGCAATTTGGTATATGAAAACTATAATGGCTAGATTAGAGAGGCACTTTTAGTAGCTGTCTGAGAACTAATTCAAATGCTACTGAAAATCTTAAAGTAGTATTAAACGCTGGTCGTTTTTTTCCTTTATGCATTCTATGCATGAAGTTAAAAAATACCCAATACCTTTTAGTGCCCCACATCCCCTGTGGGGCACTTACCTGTGTCACTGCTGCCGGTCCCCAAAGTGATCCTCTGTTCCA